AACATCCCAAACCATCTTATTCAACTATACACCCACTTCCCAGATGGCACCCTCCCATAGCCTCCCTCCCCCAACTTGAGCCCTTATACTCTGATATCCCTGCTGCTGTCTGCTGTGTTGTTGGGACCCCCAGCCGTTCCTCACTACTTGCCCTTCTGGTGAATCTAGTCAGCCTATCTAGAGGTCTTTGTTTTCAGAGGGTCAGCTGTTCCTCATCTAGCAGCAATCAGTTGTCAGTATTCCTTTAGATAAGATTGGGGTCTGCTGTTCATTTTCCCAGTTCTATTCCGGGTTACTATCTGGGAGTTCCTTGGGCCACCCTGGCCAACAACTCAAAAGAAGGTATCTCCTATCTGGCATTGTTGCTTGTTTTATAGCCTTTAGCTATACATATGGACTCTTAAGCAATTATACTGGCTCCTTGAATCTTTGGTTATACTTTCCTTTTGGGTGTTTAAGGCCATACAGTTGGCCCAGATAAACCAATTTACTTTTAAGGTTGTTTGAGGATCTGTTCCTCAGGGGTCACGTGGGCTTGGGAGGAGCCCCTGGCTCCTTTCTTTTACCAGTTCCACCTATGTGAAGATAGGTCAAAGGTCCTGCTCGACTATGGTTGGCTTTGCTTGGAAGCATGGAGGAAATGATTCTTCTGTGTTGACCCTCCTCTTTGTAGACTGGATACTGGTTCAGGCCCATCTGGTGGGGTCTCCTCAGCCTCCTTGATCAAGAGGACAGGTGACCCACCACAGTTACAGGACATTTTGAGAGATGGTCATAGTCCCCTGGAACTTAGTCAACCTAGGATGTCACGGAGCAAAAACTGTCCTTTATGTTCCTCTGACCAAATTAGTATAGGTGTCAAAGTATGGATGTTAATCATTCAAGAAGGTTAGTTCCACAAGTCTGGTATTTTAAAATTTTATTTATTTATGCTCTGCTTCCCTGGGCCTGCACCACCCATAGCAGACCTCTCTCCTACCCACAGGCCTCTCTCTGGGGTAAGTCCATCGCGCCCTCCATGCCTTGACTCCCCCAGCCTCATTCACCCTCCCATCTCCCCAGCTGGTCTCTCTTCCTAGCCTGGGTTCTGTCCCATTCTTTGTCTTGGCACCCCAGACATCTGAGGAACCATCACTGCTTCCTGACCCTTTGCATGCAGACCAACTCAGTTCCTTCTCGGGTCCCCAGGAGCACTGCTTCTGGGCCTGACCCCTCCCTCACCTCCCTCTATGTACCTGGGCCTGCACAACCCCCCAGCTTCTTTCCTGGACACCGGGGCTGACCTTTCCTCTTCCTGATCCTTTGCATTTGACCAACCCATCTACACAGTGCAGTCCCCAGGAGCCCTTGGGGCCACTTCCCACCCCCATCTTCCTTTGCATCTCTGGGTGGCATGGCCAACACCTGCCCTAGACCAGCATCTATCATGGGCCTGAATCCCAGGCCAGTCCAACCCCCAAATTCCTGAGGCCAAAATCTTTCCTGGGGTTATTTAGACCTTAGGAGAAAGCCTGAGAGCTCTGATCCTCATCTGACTTGGGTCTCTGTGGGAATGCATGAAGACAAAAGCTTTCTGGCCACTCCAATATAAAATCAAAAGAGAGAACCCGAAGCTTAGAGGAACCAGCTTTTCATGCCAAAAAAGTAAACCGCAAAGACACATAAAGTTCAAACAAAGAAGCAGACCTAAACTTGAAGGCTTGAGTCTCACACAAGAATCAGAAACTACAAAAGAAATTCACATGTCAAAATCACAGAGAAAAAATAATAACATGAAAAACCAAAATAACATA